TGTGAGCACAATTACCTTCTTTTCAAATCCTTCTGTGACACTGCGGGAGGAAAAAGGACTTTGAAACATGAAAGGATAGAGCTTGCTTTCAACCTCAAAAGCTAGGAGGAAAGGGCTCTGAAATTTGCTCAGTATTCCCAATTCACCATTAGCCTGTTTCTTCCTTTAGCCTCAAGGCATTCTCCGCTTTTTGAAAAGATGTTAAGAATTTCAGTCACAATAGAGAGCCTAGTTTTGAACATGTTTCACTCGGTCCATTGAGGTCTGGTCTTCAGCCTTTGTGTGGGGTGAATTGAGCTGAGCAGCTTGCTGGTTGGGGAGAGGTGAATGAGCAGTCTCTACGCAAGTCACCAATTCTGGCAAAGAAAAGATTACCCTTTGCTTAAAAAAAAGATGACAACGAAGGAGAAATGTACAATATGCATTCCTGTACAAGCCTGCCGGTGGCAATCCACAGAGCAGAGCTCACGCTTAAGTCAATACAGAGCACTTTGGTTTAGAACAACTCGTGTTAAGTTTGCCTTATAATTGAAGATGCTGTTGACCTTGCTTGAAGACCATTAGTAAAACCGTTTATTTAGCATAAAGTGAAATAATAAACCCTCCTTCTCTTAGGGCCGATTGTGATAGGGTGACATTAGTTTGATTTAATGATTAGCCGCCTGACCCCTCAGCTTGAGAGAGCTGCTTGAATAGGGAGAGTTCACTACCAAGCACACCGGAAGAATACTAATGAGCTTGTTAAATTTAGCATGGCACCAACCAATTTTAATTCCTCTAATGGGAGAAGCACAGCCTCTGTGAGAGAAGGAGGGAGATACAGTAAGAAAAAGAGAGAGAGAGAGAGAGAGAGAGAGAAGGGTGGAGAGGGGAAAGTAGAGGCAGAAAGTGAGAGAGCTACGAAAGGAATGCCAACATATCACTAGCTAGAGAATTTCAGTCAAGAGAAGAGCTTCCAGAAAGCAAGGAAAGAACCTTTCAATTGAGTTGTAAGTACCATGCCTTTAATATTTTTTGTCTCTTACAAGAACCACAACTAACAGATTCTTCTGAATTGCTTGCAAGAGAATAACATTAATAAAGATAAAACCATGCAGTCTAAAATTCGGAAATTTTTTTGAAGCATCCCAATAGTATTTTTCTCTATCAACCAAACATTTGAAGATACTTTTAAAGTAAAAATTTTTTTAAAAAAATTGGTAGCTTATTTTCCTTTTGAAGCATGCTTCCTATAGTCACTGGAAAAAAAAAAAAGTTCACCAAACAAAGTTTAGCACCTGGACATACCCATTATGTGTGTGCATGTGTTTTCCTAGATTTCAAAATGAGCTGACCAAAATGAGCATTTATAATGATATGTTTTGGTGAGCAAAGATTTTTGGTGATGAGTATCTCTCAATAAATTCTTTCTATCCTTGGTTCTGTCCATATCATTGCATACAATCAAGTCATATATTACTGGAGAGTTGTGTAGTTATCAGACTGGTACTTTGTTGTCTAAAAACAGCTTGAAAAATGAAACATGTTAATGCTCCAATATATCTGGAAGCTATAGTTCTTATATGGAAGACTTGTCCTAGATTAAGAGATTATGTGTGGGAAAGCACCTTGCGCATGCTCAGAGTATTCTTGTTTCAATCCACGTGTATTGGAGCAAAAAATGTCCCTTTCAAATGCGTGTTTTGTACTATTTGGTATTAGAAACAGTTTCAGGTGATTGAATGCTCTTCAGTTTAATCCTTGCAAACAGAGTGAACACATGGAGTGGTGGAAATGCATTCTGTTCTGGTGCTACAGCAAAACAAGAAATGTGTGAAAGCATAATAATCATAATTGAAACTAATCTGGCTTTCAGTTGGCATTTGGTTTGCTATTTTTTTCTCCTTTGGTAAAGGGAAGCAAAATAGACACTTTCTGGTGATAGCAGAAGAGGCAACATTTTTTAATATAGGCAAGCTGTAACAATTCTGTACTTCTGGCTTTAAGACTCAATTGGCAGATGCTGCTGGAGAAGTGGCTTGTTTGCTTACATTTTTGCTATAGACCTCCACTTGTTGCCATGGTGGACTGTCTGTTTCTGTCAATAATTTGGCCTGGCACAGCTTGTCTGCACTGACTCTTAAATTTTATTGAACAATTCAGCTGAAACAGAACAAGATTAGGCAGCTTTCACTGTTTGGCTGACTGAAGTGGTTTTACTGCAGTTATAAGAGCTGGTAGAATTATTGCCCCAAAAGTTTTCCTTTCAGTGTAGAGAGTGCTATTTCAAACCACTTGGCTATTTGTATTCTGGAGTGCGTGCACTGTCAAGTTTTTCGTCTTCCCCCTTTGAAAAGGAGCCCTTGCAGTGCAGGACATGAAGTAAACTCTTATCAAACTTAAGCCCATTGGAATTTCTCATTAATGCAAAAATGCCACAGTATAAAAAAGGGGGAGGAACAATGGTGATTTTGCTTTTCCACTTCTATGAAAGAAAGATCCATTTCTATGACAGAAAGAGAGATCTGTATTTCTTCATGTTTTTGTAATCATCAAAGATATTTCCCCCCCCCCCCCCGCAAACATACTGTAAAAGCTTCAAGTTGTATAGCACTTCCATACAAAATATTTTGGTTACGTAATTGAGAACCAACCCACATGGAGGAACAACAGGGGGAAAAACATGAAACCTTTGGAAAAATTTAATATGTCTATAATAAATAAAGTCAACCATCTGCATGCAGATTATTTTGAAATGAAGTCCAGTGCTGCAATTCTTAGTAAGAATTAGTTGTTTGGATGGGATGAGATCAGTACAAAGTAATGAATGGCCTATAGATCATACTATGAAGTAAATTGGGTATGACTTAGACATAACTAATAACTCAACCCCATAACCTTTCTAACACTTATAAATTAAACACTAAGATCACTTAGCACAGTGTTTTAGCCTAAATTTGTCTGATTAAAGTGTCTGGAAACTTTCTGAACATTATAGAGTTCTCTCCATAGGAAAATAGATCTTAGTTGTAAAAGTTTGGGATAAGCTGCAAAGACACATAAGGAAACAAAGTATTAAACTAGACAGTGGGTACATGAAGTTAATGACAGCTGTTTTATTTCTGAGCATGTCTAGATACTTCATTGCAATTGTATTATTCACCAAAAGGTTCCTGGTTATATCAAATAAAAGGAAAAGACTTGGATGTATTTGCTTTCACTTGTACCTTTCAGGGCCAGTTTTTCAATCCAGAAAGGGAATTAGTTCTTAAAATCCTTTCAGTCTTTTTCAAAATTAATGGCATTTGGCAAATGAAGAAATGTTTATTTTAATGAATGTAACATCAAAGCTGAAAATGTTCCAAAGTTTACTTTAGAAACTCCAACACAGAACAAATCTGAAATAGTTTTAAACCTATTATAACATTTTAAAAAAAGCAAGATTAGTAAAAAAAATCCTCTGAATTTTTTTTTGATTTGCATAATTGGGGACACAAATTATGTCCTTCCCAACTATCAAAAAATGTTATACTAATCTAATTGATCATTGCCATTTTGTTTCATTAATACTGCCTAAACATTTTCCTTAATATGTGTTTTTTAACTTTTAAACAATAATTGGCGGTTAATCTTTCCTATTCACAGTAACTAAGTGGGAAATAGGTAATTTCACACATTACACAGTGGTAGCAATGTATGTGTGTAAACTTGTGTTTGCCATAGACATTCACTCATCTAAGGACTGCAGGCAACTATAATTCCCAGACCTGATAGACCATGGTTATAAACAAGTTTGCTTATTTATATTTTAATGTGTACTTAAAATACCTTAGATGTATTTTCAACTATATCATATGAGAACTGTTCTTTTTTTAAAAAGAGGAAATCTTCACTGCAGAAACTTAAGAAGCGTTTTTACAGCAGTTGCTAGCATTGTTACTTTTGTAGAAGAGTAAGGATGAAAACAAGCCACCTGTATTAATCTTGTTTCTTTTAAGTGTTTCAATGAGGTGTGCTCCCACTGGAAGAGAAATAGAATGTACTGTGGGAAGCAGTTTGCTTCTCTTAGCTGGGGAAAACATACTTAAATGTATATAATTTCCAGGACCCCACTTTCTAATTGGGTTTCATTTGGGATCCTTCCTTCTATATATCAGTGCAAAACCATTCTGCTGTGAAATCTACGGAATAGGCTGATTATCCCTTTTGGAGGGCAAACTCATAAACTTTGTCAAGTCTGCTCCTTTCTCTATTTTGCATGGACTGACACAGAAGTGATACTTGGAAATACAGAGCTACAATGTATGGAGAAAAAGAATATTTATTGGATTTGATCTATACACTTGGCAATCATGTTTTATGGTCTATGTCGACATACATATTGAGATAACATTTCAAATAGTTGATTCTGACTGCATGACTTCTGTGCCCCCACGTTCTGTATCAGGTGGCCTCCTATGTTCAGTGCACGTTTATTAGAAGCCCTTCATTTTTAAAATTTAATAACTATATTTTTCTTTAATGGCAAGGAGCTTTCTCTTTCCAACAATCCCTCCTTTTTGGGTATGAAGGAGCATGCTGGGAAGTATAAAGCACAGTGGGTAGCTAAGCTTGATTTAGTTTCTGCTAGCGGGGGTCTTCTGTGATTTGTGACAAATTGTTTTTTTCCAAAACTTCTAAGCCTCCTTGTCCCAGAAATGTGGTATGGGGGGGAGCCAGTCAGTGTCCATTCCTGTACGATTAATGGCCTCTCTGGTAAATGCAATAAGGAATGGGTTGAAGATGCTCTACTGTGTAAATCTCACTTGCATTTAATGGTTTAGATTCCTTTTCCCCCTCTCCTCCTACATTTTTCAGGGAACATCTTTCATAACCACACATGTACCTACTCCTTTAAAGGCAACCATACATGTTAGAGGGCTGGGAAAACTTGTAAAGAAAACTTTGATTGAATGCTATAGCTGGGCTAAAAGTTTCACTTTGTCCTCGTCTCCTCTCCCAATCTCTCTTTTCCTTCCTAGAGGATGAAAGTCCTGGACAAACCTATCACAGAGAGAGAAGAAACGCCATCACAATGCAGCCACAAAGTGGACAAGGCCTCAGTAAAATCAGTGAAGAACCTTCAACATCTAGTGAAGAAAGGGCTTCATTAATCAAAAAGGAGATCCATGGATCTATATCACATCTTCCTGAACCTTCAGTACCTTATCGTGGGACAGTATTTGCCATGGACCCTAGGAATGGTTATATGGATCCTCCTTATCGTAAGTACTTAAAGCAAGTTCATTTTTTTAAGACGTAGGATAATGGTTTTACTAGCTCTTGTCTTCCACAGCATTTTATATTATATTTAACACTTCATCAAGAAGGATAATATTTTTAAGGTGACTTTAAAATATACAGTATATCTGCTTTTTGAAAAACTGAAGGTGGTAGGGAGAGAGGAAGAAGGAATTTACTATTATATTATCCCATTGCAGTTAATAAAAGGTGTATATTCCAAAATGCTTTCTGAGTAAGTTGAGTTGAATGATTTTTTGCTATATTGTGCTCTTCTGCTACTCCCACTCATTTCTGTAAGACTCATACAAGAGGAGTTCTTGTATTCTAACTGTTTGCATTTCATTTCTTAGACTTAGTAGCATGCACAGGGCAGGACAATGATAGGAAAGATGAAAAGTTAAGTCCTTTTTCTCTTACAAAATTTGAAGTGATGTTGACTTTGACATGTTATTTTTTACAGTGGTGGAAGTGTGCAGACAGGGGCATCAGCTCTGCTCCCAGCCATAATATAACAAAAATGACAGAACATTATGGATTGTAACTTTGGAATTCCTGATCAGACATTAATATACAGTTAAAAAATTAAGTGACGCCTGGACACAGATGTTATTCATTGTTATACAACTAACTTCCAATTAGAAACAGATGAAAAAAATGCTTTAAATGTCCCCACATTCTGTGCCTGTAAAGAAATATGTTTCCACATCTTGAGATATCAGCCTGTACCTTTTTGTAATAGATTTATCATCTTGCTGTGATTTGTACTTGCCATTTAACCTCTCCTTCTCTCAAAACAGATGATAAACTAAGTCCCATGAAAAGCGGCTAGGCTGGGGGTAGATCTTAATCCTTTATTCCTTTGTTACCCTTCCCAAATTCATTCAGAATGTTAGTGTTTTGAGGCAAAAAGTCATTAGCCAGGACAGCTAATTACTGCATTTCTCTTTCTCACTGTATAAAAAAGAGGGGGGAAAAAACCTGCTAGGGATAAAACTGGCTTTTATCCCTTGATGAGTTAGGCTAGCAATAAAGGAGAATGTTCACTCATCAGACCGCAGATCAAAGTGTGTCTTGCACAAAAGTGTTATTACTTGAACAGCCTTTTTAAAAAATAAAATCTGATAATAAAAGATGGCTGTGAATGATAAGGATGGGTAAGGAGGAGCGTTAGTTTACACTAGAATTCAGGGAGAAAGTTTCAGTTCTGTTTCTATTAAATTGTAATTGAGGCCTGATTGTATGCAAGATTATTGAACATATCAGAGAAGACAGGTGCTCATTAGCAGCTTTCTCACTAAACCTACTGAGTTTCCCTATCTTAAAAAGTTTATCATCCTGGAAAACGGTGAAAAAGCAAAAGGCCAGAACACCCCATGTGTTAATATTTATGTGTACATGTGTAGCTTGCTAGGTAATCATCAAAATCCACAACTCCCACTTTGTTGCCTGTGTATTAAGCTTGAAGCTAAATGACTTTCATAGCCTGAATCTGATTTATTTTCCACTTGGGAATAAATGCCATGAAATTAGATGGGTACAGAGGTGATAAATAGTTCACTAAGAATAAGTTACAGCAAGTGTAGAATAGCTCCCGCCAGCCCCCAATAATTTTTGTGAAATGTTGTCATCAAATACTTCCTGCCTTATACATCTTTTTAGATCTTGCATATTAGACAACTGGCCCCCGAATGTTTTATTTGGAATAGTTTTCAGTTAGAGATGTTGGAGATTGTTGCCATCAAGGTTATATAATGCATTACAAATGTTAAAATGTGACCATTGTATCTGGCAGTGTTTCTTTCACAATACCATCCTTTTATAAGTACAAATGAAATGTACATAAGTTTAAAAGCCTAGTTTAAATATGGAAAATACTACTTTTATCCTTTGACATTGCTGTGCCTTTTCTTGAGCATTACAGACACCAGTCAGTAAATAGTGTAATTTTGGCAAATTGATGAATGGAGATTAAGGACCAATTCATGCAGGACAGTATGTGGAAAACATTGATCTGTTTCATATCACTTGGTATCTTGTTTAAGTGTTTCCAACCCATACATTAGCCTGATGTGTGCCATATTAATATGCTAAAGAAACGTCTTTCAGACTGTGTGTGAGATGGGCGGCTATATAAATATGATAAATAAATAAAATATATCGCTGCTTTGTTAATGACTGACACAATGAATCATCACAGAGGGTGAAGAAACTTTATATGAAAAATCATACAGAGGTTTTTACAACTGTTTTTTTGTCTACCTCATAAAACAGAAGCAGCAGTATGTTTCTGTGTATGTTTGTGAGTGTAAATTTTGGGGGAGGGGGCAATAGGATGTTTTTAATTATCCACAATAATTGTTGTGGCTGATATATCAAGTCTGGATTGTTTCCATATTCCCCCCCCGCCAAATTTTTTTGTGAAGAACAGAGTGAAAAAAATGGGACTAAGATTAAATATAAGAAGAGGTATAGCAACTAGTCTTAGAATTGACAATGAAGATATTGGATGGTGGAAAGCTTCTGCTTTTTAGGGTCTGTCAACAGTAAAGGAACCAGCAGTAAAAAAAAAATATGCCACATATTAACACTTGGTGGAGCAGCAATGAAGGGCTTGGAAAAGATAGTTTGGATACTGTGATATGTCTATATCTGCAAAGATCAGACTTGTGCAGGCCATGATTTTCCCTGTGATACTGTATAGAAGTGAAAGTTGAATTTTGAAAAAGTGGGAGAGAAAGAGAATTGATGCTTCTGAATTTTGGTGTTGGAGAAGACTCCTAAGAGTACCAAGGAAATAAACAAGTGGATTGTAAAATAACTCAAACCAGAGTTCTCACTCAAGGCACAAATGATCAGGCTCAAATACTCATATTTTGGATAAATTATATTAAGATCTAGCTCCCTTGAGAAGACTATAATGCTGAGAAAGGTAGAAAGAAAGAGATGAAGACAATTAGCAGCAAAAGTGGATGAATTCAATTATAGCAGTGATGGTCGCGCTGTTTGAAGATCTGAAGGTCCAGGCTGGGGATAGATCATCCTGGAAAATACTTATTTATGTAGTCACTGAAAGTCAACACTAGCTTCATGGCGTATTGAAGAGAAGTCTCTGAACACTGAAAAATGTTCTCTGAATAAGTCTAAAAAAAAGATTATGAAGGGAGTTGTAACACTCAATTTCTTATATTGTATTAAGTATTTCTATTGTCATATAAAGATTAATATATAAATATATAAATCCATTATTTTCTTTTTACTTATAACATGTTTTCACATTTAGATTGCCACTGCTGTAACTGAATCTATGTTCTGGTTAAATTGGAGGTGAGACAAATACCATTTTAATTTTAGTTGCAATAAGGAATATATCTACAGATACACACACACACACACACGAATTTCGCCTTATCTGCTGACAATATCCTTTATCCTTAGTAGTCCCAGCCTTCATTTTTATAGAACAAATGACAATTGAGGTCTCTTTCAACTCTGCAATATTGTTTGCTCCCATGCCAGTGGGGATGTGCATAAAGAGTTCTCAGTATAACTTCATTTCTTGGTTTGTTTACAAGTATTTGACCAGGTCTGATGAAATGGACTACAGTCCATGAGACCTTGTATCATAATAAACTTTATAGTTAAAAGTGCCACAGGACCTCCACTCCCCTCCTCTCCCCTCCCCTCCAGCAAGATTTTGCTATGCTGGGAAGCTAAACTGCATGAGAAAAAACCTTTTTGTGTATTCAGATTAGCAAGAGAATACCTGCAGAGAGAATAAACAGGAAAGGTTCAGGGCCCTAAGGCTATACCTTTATTATTAAAATAGTCCTTGTAATGAGTTGAATGCTTTCAGGTTGTCTCTGGGAAGAATTCTGATTATGTAATTGTACGATAGTCGTCCTGTTGCTACAGGTAGAGCTGCACTGGAGACATCTGTTTTATTTAGTTTCTTACTAATTTTGGTGAACAGATGGAGAAAAAAGGCTGTATTCTCTGCTGTAGCTGGTATGTAATTCCTTCATTCTCTGTGGTTGGAAAATGTGGCATTTTCAGGATGTCTTGTTTGTGCTTCTATATATACCCAGTTTGAACTTAAAAGTGTAGGCAGTTTTTCAATAACACAGAGGAAAAAAGAGAACATAATTTCTATTTTTCTTCCTTATTCTAAAGTGAGCATATATATGTCTTAATGACCACCTTCACAAATAAGCTTTTAAGTTGGTTGAGTCTGGAATGCAAGTCTGCTTAGGAACTTCAACTTGTTAGGAAGATCTATTTGCATATGTATATCTGTACCTACATTATTTCCCTTTTGTGAGAGAGAGTTCTTTAAAAACTAAAAAAGACTGGTATGAATTATTTCCTCCAGTCTATGGATCCAATAAATTTTGTCAGTGTAGAGGAGTGGGACAATGCCCATTCTCAGAGCAGATAGTTCAGACACAGCATTGTGAAAGTAATAATAACTAATAATAATAATAACTTCCTGCCACATGATTCAAGTGCCTAGAAATAACAGGAGTCAGTAGAAACAACAACTTTCAAATTGCTAACTGGTGTGGTAGCTGATGCAGCCCAACAGCATTTGGTTGAAAATAAGCTCTTTCTATCTGAGTAAAAAGGAAACTGCCCAAACAGCAGAGGAAGAAAAGATCAGCTCCAAACTGACAAGATGATTTTGGAAAACTGCAAGAGAAGGAAGACCATCTTGAATGTACCTTGGATTGATTACAAGAAGGCATTAGACTCCCTGCCACATGATTGGATAATCAAGTGCCCAT